GGGAGCGGCCACTGCACTCCAGTCTGGGTGACAGAGTGAGACTCCAACTCAAAAAATAAATAAATAAAAGTAGAAGTAAAAAAAAAAAATTTTCTCTGTGTGTGTGCACACATGTGTATGAGTATGTGTGTGCTGTGTGTGTACATGCATGTGTAAGTGAATACAATAGGTCTGGACATCCCAAATAAGTTTTCTCCAAGGGACAGGCTGGAACTAATTTTTTCTGTATGGTTTGAAATTCTGACATTCTGTAGGTAGTTTGTGTTATTTTCATTTAAAAAATAAATACATGCTGTTAAATAAATAAACGTGTACCCACATCCCCCAGGAAAGGAAGGAAGAGGCAGGGGAGGAGGAGGATTGGTCAGGAGCAGTCACACTCACCCTTCCTCTTGGTGCAATGGTAAATTTGGCCGTGCTCCTGGGGCAGTGGGTATGGGTTGGGTGGGGGCAGAAGGTCCTGGGAGGGGCCAGAGACGCCATTCTCACACTGGTACTGGGACCCCAGGTTGGATGAGGTGGAGAGAGCTTGAGACTCACTGCTGAAGGGGCTGTGGTTGGAGGCCACTTTTTGCCTCACTGTGCTCCTGGGAACCACGGGATATTCTTTACTGGAAGAGAGAAGATGAGAACTAAGGTTTATCAGTCCCCTGATAAAGATTCCCTGAGGGGCCAAGCCATGCGTCAAAGAATCCACTAGAAAAGTCACAGAATAGGAAACAAAAATGGTCTTCAATAAGTGAAGCCATCCAGATGTATTCATGTTCATCATACTCCATGGCCATATAATTGAGCACTAGTTTTTCATGCCTTATATAAGAGGCAGGTAGATTTACCAATAGTTCTATACATATGCAGAAAAGCAAATGAGCATCCTCAGTTAAGAACCTCTCTTAACTATCAATAGATACAATAAACATTTTGAAATATGTCAACCTAGTCTACACATCTTTGAATTCTAATTCGAAACCTAGCTGAGGAGCAGTTATTTAGACTTAACCTCTGGGTATCCACCTTCAGACTGGGACTGACATCTTTGCCCAGAATTAGTGAAAAATGGAACCTGACCAACTAGGATAATTTGGATAGATTGCCGCTTGTGTCTTAGAATTTCATTCTCGGTTGCTGTCCTGTGGCCACTGATGTACTTAACTTCTCCATGCCTTGGTTTTCCCATCTGTATAATGGGGATCATAAATGACCCCAGTTCAAAGGGTTGCTGCAACAAGAAGTGGGTTAATGGGTTCATTTCTAAAAGGGTACGTGGCACAACACATGACAACCATCATCATTTTTGTTATTGTTTTGGGGACAGAGAATAGAGGGTGGGAGAAAGGAGAGGGAAAGAGAGATAGGGAGGGGAAAAGAAGAAAGAGCAAGGGTAAAAAAGACATAAAATACAGCATGGGATCGATGATTAAGCCACTCCAAATTGAGGCCCCATTCCCATCACTTACAGACTGGATGCCCATCTGAGACACAACCCTTCTGAACCTTGGTGTTCACACAGGCAAAGTGGGCATAATTTCATGACATCCTATATGTAATATCCTTTTGAAGGATTGAAAGTCTGACCCCTCACACTCTCACAAATGGTTCTCCAGTTTCCTTGCCTTCAGCTCTCATACCCAATTTTCCCAAAAGATATTCTCTATTTTCCCTTAGGCAGCCTCAGATCTCAAAAGAAACCTCTCCAGGGAAGAAGGGCTGTGGTGCTATGTAGCACTGGCAACCCCAAAAGAAGTGGGGTGGGTGAGGGACTGGATTGGAGGTGAGAGCCTGCAGAGGAGAGGAGAGGAGGAAACAGCTTAAAGACAGAAGGGACAATAAAGAGAAACATCCAAGAATGTGAGAGAAAAGAGCCTGACCCCTAACACCCAACACTTAGGACGGGGACAGGGAATCTTGGGTAGGGCGTTTAGAAAGTACATCTACTGCCATATAGTCATTTTTGGAATATTTTGATAACTGTGTTTCAACATAATTGGCTTCCTTTGCAATTTATGTATTTTACTTTTTTTTTTTTTTGAGTTGGGGTCTCACTCTGTCCCTCAGGCTGGAATGCAATGGCATGATCACAGCTCACCATAGCCTCAACCTCCTGGGCTCAGGTGATCCTTCTGCCTCAGCTTTCCAAATAGCTGGAACTACAGGTATGCGCCACCATGCACAGCCAATTTTTAAATTTATTGTAAAGACAAGGTCTCACCAGGGTTCCCAGGCTGGTCTTGAACCCCTGGGCTCAGGCAATCCTCTCACCTCCGCCTCCCAAAGTAACAGGACTGCAGGCATAAGGCACCACACCCAGCTGTATTTTACTTTACGCATTTAATTTCATTATTCTGATAAGTGATCCATAGGCTTCAACACACTGCCAGAGAGGCTCATGGCAACAAACAGGTAAGGACTCCTGCCCTAGAAGGAACATGTATCAGCAAACCCCAGACTTCAGTCAGTCATGATTTCTGCCATGACCCAGAACCATCTTTTCTTTAATTTATTACATTTACATTTTTAAACTAAGCATTTACCTAAGTAAGTTTTACCTCACTATAAGCAATCATATCTCTGAAATTATGGACTGGTGATACTAATTAGAGTACCTCTAATGCAATTAAAATAAATGTTTAACTATTAAAACTAAAGGGTACACCTGAAATCATCTCATGTACAAAAGCTCTTTGTACATGAGATAAGCTACACATGACACTTGTTGAAGGATGCTGCATTTGGTCATTTTATCCTTTCTGTGACCTTAGGAGGTAGGTATTGCTTTTGCCCCCATTTTACAGATTAGGAAATTGAGGCCCAGGGAGATTAAGCAACTTGCTCAAGGTCACAGAGCTAGAAAGAAACACAACTAGAATTCTAACACAATCACTTCCTAATTATTCTTATACTGTCTCCTAATAGCTTATTTTAATTTTTAAAGCACAATCTGCCCTTAGGGGGACAGGGGCTTGGGGCCAAAGACTCCTTTCCCCCTTCTGCTACCCCTCAAGGGTGTAACCATCTCCACCCTGTGCCCTGGCCCTTGTTTATCATGTGGAAGCACATCAGCATGGCCACGCAGGGGACACGGAGTATCTGCCAAGTTTCCATGAGGCTACAGACACCCTCACGACACCCAAGGGTCTCCAAGCCCAGCTTCCCTGTGGCATGTGCCATCTCAGAACCAAAGCTGGAGCTGTCCTAAGCAGCCCTACCAGTCAGAATCTTCCCCTGGGGCCAGGAGGCTGAAAGGAATGAAATTAGCTTTATAGCTTTTGCTTTGCGGTTCAAGCTACGTAATGGAAAAAAAAAAAAAAGAATGAAAAAGAAGAAAAATTATAATAACAATAAAACATTATAAAAGTTGTCAAATCTCCCTGGCAATTATGTTTAGGTCTGTTTAGTTCAAATATTGTACTGTCAGAGTTCCAGTAGAAAGAGGGAAATATCTTCTGGTTTTATACTTTTAATGGGGATTTTTTTTTTAATTAAAGAAAATAACCCCCAAAAAATGTTGGCTGAGAGAATTTACAAGAGACTGTATCAATGGACTCCGTGGAATTCTCCGTTCCAGCACTGCCAAATTGCAAAACTGCTCTCTGGAAAGGCCAAATCCTGCTTTTGATCACCAACACTCACAGAAGTGGGAAAGCAATATTATCCCAATACCCACTTGTCCCTCACAGCGTGTTTCTCTCTAGGAGTTGAAACGCCACTCCCACCACCAATCACGGACATCTCTTTTAGTGCCTGAAATACAAGGTCCCCCAGGCCCATCTGACAGGTGTCAAAACATGGGCGAGGGAGGGCCAAGTGACTTCTCAATCAGCATGGGATTGTAGAGACAAAGGAGAAAACACCAGGCTCAAACAACAGTGGGGCGATTTCCACAGAGCTCATCAATGGATCTGTCAAAGGCACATGGTTAATATCAATCCGTCAGAAATCTCTCAAATGCTTATGATGAAGCGATAAATCATTTTCCTCTACCGCTTAAGAGCCTTCATGGAGAAGTGAGGGCACAAGGGAATTAAAGTGAAAGTTGGAAAGCTCTGGGAAGAAGACAGTAATAAAGGGCTGTCTTTTTATCAGTATCATCGCCGTCATCAACCTCCGTGTCATCAACTATATTGTTCTTAAAGTGTCTCCTAATGTTTCAGCCTCTGTACCGGTTGGCATATATGTTTTCTCTGATTTGATCCTGGCAAGAACTTTATTTCCTGGGTGCAATTAGACATACTTTTGAGATTTTTTTTTAGAAGAAGAAGAAAGGAAAAGCAGGCTCAGAGATGTTGAGCAACCTGCCCCAGATCACACAGCTAGGAGTCAAAGCTGAGCTTTATCCAGGGTTGATCCTATTCCAAAGCTCCTGCCAACTAGCTAATGCTTGATAATAGGGAACTGTCACCTGCACACCAACTGCTTAATAAGCACAATCAATCAGCTATATAAAGCATTCTGGTAATGACAGAGTTGGGTATCGGCTACACCCGGGAGATATCAAGTTCTGCTGGCCAGTCCTACTGTTGGTGGAAACTCTCATTTACAAAATGTCAAGTCTCACTGCCTCTGCTGTATCAACCAGTAACATCCGCATCCCGTGGACAAGCTCCGATCAGAGTCGCCACACACAAGCTGGGGTCCTGAGTACCTTGGCTCACCCTGGGTGTTGGAGCGCGCAGACCAGCTCCTCCCAGGCTCAGCCCCCCTCTCGCATTCTGTGCCACATGAACGAGTGCGATGAATGACGCCATTGTCGCTGGGTCTGGGTTGTAAAACGTTACAAGGGAATGTTGAAACCCATGGCCAAACTGCATCCTCAGCCGACTGCCAGCTAACGAACACCCCCGAGAACGTTCTCCACCACAGGCAACTGAATTGGCCTTTTCACGGGAGCAGGTGGCAGGGGTGCGGCGTGTTGGGGTTTTTTGTTTGTTTTCCCCTGGTGATGCTTACCCAATTTCTGGCAGCCTTTCTCAAACAACGAAAGCAGTGCACTGGGGCAAGGCTAGGGACCATAAAATTCACGTTCTATTGGAGCAAATTCCTCTTCACACTAGTTCTTTAATCTGTGACTAAAATTTTTTAAAAGGGGCCACACCACCCCTTGACAGCTTTCTTGATTTGTTAACTTTCTAATATGCTTGGGGAAATCTTCTGATCTAACACGCGTGGACACAGCAGGAACCATGGAGGGCACACCCCAGGCGGGATTTAGCCTGGTGCAAATGATCAATAATCGCTCGCTCCTTCATGCCTACAAAGTGTTTTAGTCAGTTCACACCACACCAGCAAGCTGGAGAAGGGCATGGTGCCATCTTACTTATAAGTGGGAGCTAAATAATGTGCATCAGAGTGTGGAATAATAGACATTGGGGACTTGAAAGAGAAGGAAGGTGAGGAATGAGAAATTACTTAATGGATGTGATGTATACTATTCAAGTGATGGTTACACTAAAAGTCTAGACATCACCCTTGTGCAATACAACCATGTAACAAAACTGCACTGTACACCCTTGATTTACACAAATTAAAAAAAAAAAAGAATGGGGGAACACAAAGAGATTATATACATTTCTTAGTATTGATTTAATCAGGGCTGTATGATGTAAGGTGTGCC